ACTTGGTGTGGCACGTCCCTTTAATCCCAGCACTCCAGAGGCAGAAGCAGGTGACTCTGGGAGTTCAAGGCCAGTCTGGTCTACGCAGTCAGTTCCAGGCCAACTGGGGCTACAGGGAGACCCTGTCTCAAAAAATGACCAAAAATGGCCGGGTGTGGTGGCGCATGCCTTTAATCCCAGCACTTGGGAGGCAGAGGCAGGCGGATCTTTGTGAGTTCAAGGCCAGCCTGGTCTACATAGTGAGTTTCGGTCAGCTGGGACTACAGGGAGACCCTGTCTCAAAAAGACAGAAAAAAAAAAAAGTTATCTTTGTTTCAAATCAGGACAAAACTATCTAATCACTACAATATTAAACAAATGCAAAATATTCACTTAAATTAATAGTATATAATTGTTGATTCTATCATTATCTAAGCTGGCCCAAAGGAGGCCACGTATGAGTTTCTTCAATGAATCCATCTCCATGTAAAGGACACAGTATCCCAAGCACCAGATGGCTCAGGTTAGGTCTGTTAACCCCAGCTACTAGGGAAGCTGAGGTAGGAGAATGGAAAGCCTGTTTGGCTCTATATTGAGTTTACCAACCAGGGCTACAGAGTGAGGCAGTCTTGAGGGGAAAAAAAACAGCTGGGCATGATGGCACACACCTTTAATCCTAGCACTTTGGGAGGCTGAGGCAGGTGGATCTCTGTGAGTTCAAGGCCAGCCTGGTCTACATAGTGAGTTTCAGGACAGCTGGGGCTACAGGGAGACCCTGTCTCAAAAAGACAAAAAAAAAAAAAAAAAAAAAAAAAAAAAAAGCAAAAAAACAAAGAAGGGCTGGAGATGTGGCTCAGTGGTAGAGCACTTGCCTATCATGTATTAAAACTCTAGATTTAAGGGGCTGGAGAGATTGTTCAATGGTTAAGAGCACTGGCTGCTGTTCCAGAGGAGAGGGGTTCGATTGGCATGCACATGGCGGCTAACAACTGATCTGTAACTCCAGTTTCAGAGGAATTCAATGCCCTCTTCTGACCTCCGTGAACACTGCACAACACGGGTGCACTTATATACATGCAGGCAATACACTCATACACATAAAATATTTTTTTTTTTAAAAAAAAAGAACAACTTGGACTGGAGAGATGGCTCAGTGGTTAAGAACACTGAATGTTCTTGCAGAAGACCCGGTTCAAATCCCAGCACCCACATGGCAGCTAAGAATTGTCCCTAACTGTCCCCAGGGGATCTGACCTCCAAGGGCATTGCACAACACAGGTGCACTTACCTACATGCAGGCAATACACGCATACACATAAAATAAAAATAAATAAAATTTAAAAAGAACTCTAGATTCAATCCCCATCACCACCAAAAAACAAAAATTGATGCCAATTATTGAATTCAACTTCTCTAATCTATTATTATCCAACTATACCCTAGTCTCTTCTGAAAAATAAAAGTAACAATCTATATAGCACAACATACCAGGAATATAGTCAGGAATTTCTAAATATGTTAACATTAGCATTTTTGTTTACCCGAGTAAACAATGTTAACAGTCATCCCTGATTGGTGATATGTTATTTTAATTCTTTTACCTGTATTTTGCTAAAATTTTCAAGTTTTATATAACATTCATGTATTGTTTTTAAAGCCATTACATTAATCTTTTTTTAAAAAAAAAAGTGTTAGGTATTAAACCCTGAAAATACTAGGCAAGTACTCCATCCCTGAAAGCATTATTATTGTACCCTCAGATTTGTTATGGTGATTGTAGAACTCTTATCTAGGGAGAGCAACGCACAAGTCTTTAAGCATATCTTAAAATGAAAGGCAAGAGGTTGGGAAGATTGCTCAGTGATACAGTGCCTGCCTAGCATGTATAAGACCTTGAGTTCAATCCCCAGCAAAACACACCCCCACACACCCATACACACACACACCCCCACACACCCCCAAGTCAAGTATGTTGACTCTTCAGAAGAAATGCTACATGTTTAAGGTTAATTAACAAGAGTACAAAAATTTACATGCAAAAAAAAAAACACACCCCCAACTTTAGGGATCAGTTCTAAGTGGGAGGTCTTGACCTCTCACAGAACTGCAACATGAATCCTGGAGACTTTTACCTATCTGAAAGATTATTGCCCTTTAGGTAAACAAGAGACAAGTCCTTAAGGATTCTGCAGCCAAAATTTTCTGGGAACCCAAGGATTCAGCCTGGTAATCAGGGTAAAGTGAGATCTTTCCCACAGCTGAAAACTGGCTTCCAAAAAAAAAAAAGGTAACTACCATATGATATTGTTCTTACTCATTATTTCTATCTTTTGAAGTCACAGTAAACTAGGACTGCAAGGCCTTTCCATGTGGCTACCAGGTACACACAACTCTGCACAGATAATGTTCTTAATTTCTGAAAAGGCTTTACACTGCACCATAAAGCCTAACCAAAGGACGGTTTCTCAAGCCATCGGAGCAATAAACTCATGTTTTTCAAATTACCAAAGAAAAACAAAAATAAATTTACTTATACAGAGAATCAAAACTGATAGGGTCTTTGGAGAGTTCTACATTGTTGATGAGTCAAATTATTATGGAAGTAGAATTTATCAGATGCTAAAGGATTTTGCAATGTGATAATAATCCATAACAAAATTTCTTAGAAAACTAGAATTTTAGATAGTTCAACTTTTGATAACTACTCAAAACTTTAAGGTTAAATATAGGAATTCCAAGAGGGGAAAGTCATTACCATTTGTTAGCCATTTACTTGACACCTCCAAAGGAGAGGGGGAAAGGAGGTGGGCAGGATGGAAAATACCTACATGTTGGAATCAGGATACTCATGTGTTGAATGTTTGTCAAGTAACACATTTTAACTGACAAAAATGTCTCTTCCAACAATCAGGGCCGGGGAGATGGCTTCTGTAGGTAAGGGCTATTGGGCCCAAGTCTGACAACCTGAGTTAGATCCCTGGGACCCAGGCCATGTAAAGAACCAATTCCCTCAAGTTCTCCCTGACCTAGGGCACCTATATATCTACACACGAATGCACACAGACACACAAGCACACAATAAATAAGTGCAAATTTTTAACCCACTAGAATCAAAAGACAGCCATTTCAAGTAGAGCTGATTATTTACCATATAAACTACAATGATTTTCACTTCAAGCTACATAAGTTTGACATCCTTAAACAGTTTATATTTCCTATACAAATTAGGCCATCTAACACTTAGAAACCTCATTTAGAAGACAAGTTAGTAGTTACTCTAAATATGATATGCATAATTAAGGCAAAATGAGTTTCCTCTACTTTTCCATCAACAAAATGGGAGTAGAAGGATTTGAAAGATGGCGCATCCTTAAATTCATCATTTGTAATTCAGCACATCAAGTTTCCTTTTTCTCTTAAGGAGAAAGAAAAAGGGCTACGGGCAAGTTTACCAGCAACCAAGATGGCACTGTCACGAGCAACACCTCCCACAGCAGCCACCATTTTGAGCAGCAGGACTTAATTAGACTACTCAGGATCTCATACCAACGAGAAGGAAACAAGGACACCAGAATCATTATTAAGCATCTCTTCACTTCTAAGCGTCCTCAAATCTTTAACCTCTGTAGTGGGGTTTCATTATAAAACGGCACTACAAAAATCATGTTCTTTACATCCGTCTTCAAACTTTGTAAACAAACGCTGTGATGCTGCATAAAATGATCAAGTTACTACATTTTCCTAAAACTTGGAGAAGCCCACGACCTGGAGGAGGCTATCACTTAATCACATTGTTTTAATCAGCTTAAGGAACCAAGGATCTCCAAAAGCCTAGAGTGGCCCTATTTTATCAGTCTACATTCCTCTCCATTCTCCTACCCAAGACCTTGTGATCTTAGTTTCCCGATTTTATTAACTCTGCAACAAGAACAAGTTCCCACGCTTCATTCATAAGAGAAGCAAATGATACTTCAGCAAACACAACCGAACCTAAAAATAAAGGCGTGCAAAGACCTCAAGGAGTCAAATTAAAAATCAACCCGAAAATGGCAGAAAGATTCGTGGGGTGTGGGGAGGCAACCACAACGGTCAGGTCTTCCAAACAAGTCATTTTTTAATTTGGCTGATTTCAGCTGTAAACCCACCCACAGAACTCAAAACAAAAATTGACCAACAATTCCCTGTACCTATACCCCGAGGCAAAAAGGTAAGTCACTCTACACAACCACCGCGGCGAAGAAAGCAACTCAACCTGCCAACCAAATATTTCACACCTCCTTCCAAAAATTAAAATTAAAAAAAGACATCAGGATGCTGATGCTGGTGTGGACCACCGTATGCATCCCGTCTCCCACACTCCCGCCACCATCTCCGCCACCGGGACCCTCTGGTTTGGGTCCAGTCATCACAAAGCCTCGGGTGGTGAAAGCACCTTCGGCCTGGCCAGAAAGCCATCCCTTCCTCCACGCTCGCCCGGGGAGAATAATGGTGGCAAAACGAACTCGGAGAAAGCTCCCCGAATACAGAGGAGCTGGTCCTAGGAAGAAAACACAAACACACGAGGAGACCCAAACTTTCCCGAGGCGGGGTGGCTGCGAGCGGGGCGGTCCCGCCGGCCGAGCGCCCCAGCCCAGGCCGCACCTCCGCCGGCCCGAAGTTGACCCCCAGCGCCCGAGAGTTGCGGGGCCTCCGGCAAGTGGGCGAAGTGCGGCCGCTCGGCGCGCCCGGCCCGACCAGCGTGCCCCACCTCCGCCCGGCTCCCGGCCAGGCCGAGCAGCCCACCGCGCGACCCCCCGTCCCCACCCGAGCAGCTGCTCGCCGCCTCAAAGGCGAAGTCCCGGGAGACCCCCAGTGCCCCTCCGACAAAAGCAGGCGCGACCCCCGCCTTCCGACGGCCCCGAGCGCTCGGCGCCCGATGGCCCGGCCGTCCCACAGCCTCGTGCCGGTAGCCGGGCGCCCCTTCCACCCGGACTCCCCCAGGACACCCGGAGGAGAAAGGGCGCAGCACGCCGGCCACTCACCTCGATCTCGAAGTCCGGCAGCCGGAACGCGGTGCGAAAGAGAGAGCAGAAGTGCGCGATGGCCGGCACTTCCCACCAGGAGCGGAGCTCGCCCAGCCCGGCCGCGCCGCCCTCCTCAGGGCACATCGCCGCCGTGGCCCAGGCTGCGCGCGCTCGCTCCCTGGCTCGGACTCCGGCGGCGGCCGGCTGCGCCTCACTCCTCAGGCGGCGGCGGCGCCTCAGCGCCTCGCTCCTCAGGCGTTTTTTTTCTCGCCCCATCCCGCCGCGGCGGAGCAGCCGCCCCCAGTCCCATACAATATAACCCACTCACCACTGGGGAAAACAGATGGGGCTGGGGGTGGGGAGGGGGCCCGACAGAAGCCTGGGGGAGGGGCCGCCCACGAGGAGGGGGCGGGGCCGGCCCGCACCACAACAACAACCCCGCCCCCACCCCCAGCCCGGACAGCTGCACCAAGCGGAGGGGGAGGGGAGCGGGGACGAGGCGCTCAGGGAGAGGACGCGTGCGACGGTCCCCGGGAGCGGGGCGCACCCCCGAGAAGTGGGTAGGGTGCGCGCTCCGCAGTCCGGGGCGTTGGGGACTGAGGAGTTGAGTGACTTTTGGTGACGGGAGACTGGCAGGGTCTCTCCCACCCCCACTCGGCCTCAGTGGTCGAGTCCTTTTAAAGGGCCCGCGGGGTGGTGCTTCCCGTAGGGCTAGAGGTGGAACGGTGCACGTGTGGGAGTTGAGTGATTAAGGATGCGGAGGGTGGCACCGAAGAGCGGGCCGGGTCGGGCCGCCCTGGAAATGCTAGGCCTGGAGAGTCAAGTCGTTTCCACCTGTTCTTGCGCGTGTTTTTATTCCATCTGAGAACGGTCCTTCCTAGGAGCGCTCGTGTGGCTCCTTTCTCCTGGGAAGAAGGTGGTGGGGCTGGTTAGGCTGGAAGCAAACGGGGAATGGAGGGTAGAGTGTGGCGGGAAGGGTGGAGTAGGGGGAGGCACCAATCAGCAGCCTAGCGGGAAGAGTGAGTCGTGTCCCCCCCCCCCCCCCCCCCCCACCCCCCCCCGGCCCAA